TATCTGTTCCATTCACCATGTTGATAGGGATATTACTAGAAGGGAATATAAGAAGAAAAGGAAAGTGTGATGGGAGAATACAGAAATAGAGGCGGAGGGAATCTTTAAAACGGAATGGGGAATACAGAGATATAACATACGGGAATAGGGGAGATTAATAAACGAATACACATTTAACGTACTAAAGAGGCAGATGGATGTATGAAAACATGTAATAACGAATGCCAAGTAAGAGAGTGAGAAGGAAGATTAGGGAGTTAAGATCTACGGTGAGGAGTAAAGTTTACAGAGGAGGAGGAGGTCAAAAGATTCGTATCAAGACTCCATGAAGGTGATATTCCTCCGGCTATTTCTAGCCCTCCCGCTTCCCTCCCCTCCCAAACCACGCTAGCCTCCCTTTATTAATGCTAACAACAGCTAATCTTGTGCCCAAAGAAAGGTTTCTTCAAGTTCACGTCGCTTGTACGAGGTCAAACTGAGGTGTGTCTATAAATAGTCTTGTCACGGAGACGACATCGCACTGGAATGACGTCATGGAAAAGTCGGCGTTCATTTCTATCGCTTATAACTAGAGGGGCTGAAATGATATACAGCTAATAGGGCACAGAGGGGACACACACAATCGCTTATAACTAAAGGGGCTGAAATGGTATACAGTTAATAGGGCACACAGGGGACACACACAATCGCTTATAACTAGAGAGGCTGAAATGGTATACAGTTAATAGGGCACAGAGGGGACAAACACAAAAAAAAAAAAAATAAAAAAAAAAAAAAAAAAAATAAAAAAAAAAAAAACGGGAACTTGCAGAGGCGTCACTAGATAGATTTTGCTTAGAATACGGGGCGCACCACGCCGGTGAATTTATCATAAGGGGTGGGGGGTGATACCAAAAGGGCTTTATGCAATTGATAAATATGTCATTTTGAAACGGTAAGGTTTTTTATTATCATTGCCGAAAAGGGGGTGACAAGACCAGTGACACCCACCTTTGTGATGCCACTGACAAACTGGGTAACACAATGGTATTTCAAAATCATTGATGCGACAAGTGGGGAGTGTACTTTTTTTATATAGTAAATGTTCATTCTTGTGTAAGTGTTTCTTGTTTTAAACTCAAAATGACACTTTTTTTTGTCCCCACCCCCCACCAAACCAAAAAAAAAAAAAAAAAAAAAAAAAT